CAAGTTTTGGTGTGAGGTGGGGTCCTGGCCAGTTCCCTGCAGAATCTGAGCTATGACTGTGCTGTATCATGAGCAGAGAGGATGAGTATACCAGAGACAGCACTGAAATGCTGAAAGAAACAAGGTTAAGGCTTGAGGATGAAGGTGTAGCTCAGGGGTAAAGCATGGGCCTACTGTGCTGGAAAACATGGGTTTATCCCAAGTACCAAAAAAAAAAAAAAAAATTATGTACTGTAGAAAGAAACTGAAAAAAGGAAGAAATCTTTTACACTTCCCAAAAAAAGAAATAACCCAGGCTAATCTTGTGCTCACAGTAAAATGCTGATAAACATGGAAGATTTCCTTTTGCATTTTCTATTTTTCCACCCCAGAAACATTCCTAACACAGATGTGCCTGTTGGTTGGCTCCAAATGTGCCCTTTTGAGACTTCAGCTGAGCCCTGGGGTCTAGGAAGTGGCCTGAAGGGACCAATCTGTTAAGTGCATAGTACTTGGGAGTTATTGGCCAACCTGTCTTTAGTTTTCTGAATTTCTAAGCTTAATATCAACAGGTGTCTAAGAAAAATTTCAAGAAGGGTTTAATGTCAGAGGATCATAAAGTTTTGTTGTGTTGTTCTAGCCAAATCAATCACTTTTTGCTCTTAGAGATCACAGCTGACGAAACTTGAGTCACCCACCCTTTCCCACACCTCAGCTTATATATCTCCAAACCTCAGCCCATAAATATCTCCAAACTATGTCCTCATGGAGGTAGCTTCAGACTTGCCCTCCTGACTGACTCCACATGCTTGGTCACCTTGTGAATAAGCATTTTCTCTTTTGCAAACCTGTAACTTCAGTAGTTAGCAAAATGATTAGGATAATTTCAGTATCCCTGCATGGGATACAACGGGCCTGGTTTGGTAACGCCAGGAAGCCAGAAACAGAGTTACAGAAACAAATTGAGCATAGATTCTGTAGCAACATCAGGAGGAGCCCAGGAGTAGGCAGAGGCCTTTCACTGAGAGTCACATGAGGGACCAGTGGACACACCCTGTTCACAGGACTCAGCATTGAGAGTACACAGCTGACTCAAGGCCTTGGGCCAAGGCTGCAGGCAGGTAGCAGCATAGCATGATGGTTATAAACTGCATCTGGATTCCAATTGTCTTCACTGCTTCTTAATCCATAACCCTTGGCAAGAACCTTAGCCTGTCTAAATTTCAATGGCTTCTCCACAAATAGAATGAAAAAGGCTGTATCTACGAAGTTAGGAAGGATTAACGCATGCAATGGGGCTGGGCCAAGTGATCACATGATATGTGGTGCCTTTCACAGCTGCTACTGGGAGCTGGCTTTAGATTTACAGACATCTTTTTGTTCATTATTATTTTGTTCTCTATGTAGCACCCTCCAGGCACCTGGGGGTTTATGGCAGCCTGTCCAATACAATGGCTTTGCTTACAGACAAATGGAATTCAGTCTGAGCTAGGCATATGTGGCCCAGGATTTGTTAAAAGCACCAATCTGTTAAGTGCATAGTACTTGGGAGTTATTTGGCCACCTGTCTTTAGTTTTCTTGAATTTCTAAAGCTAATATCTTAGGTAGATTTTTTAAAAAAAATCTATAATTAGTCAACAAAAATATTTTGCTTAATATCAACAGGTGTCTAAGAAAAATTTCAAGAAGGGTTAATGTCAGAGGATCATAAAGTTTTAGTTGTGTTGTTCTAGCCAAATCAATCACTTTTGCTATTAGAGATCACAGCATTTACTTAATAGAATTTATAGTAACTTAATGGAAATGAGGAAAATAATTGATTGGCTGCATAGAAACAATATTCAAATGTATGTAAGCTAACCATGAGGCCAAGCCGTCAAGTCTTGTCTGCCTCATTTAATAGTCAGCACCTTAAAAATTAGCCCAAATTCCATACCATGCTGATATTTTAAAACTGTATACAAAAACGTGTATACAGTTTTTAAGTGAGGTCCACAGTGGCTGTGCTATTTTAACAAGATAGAGTGGCCACAATTCTGCCAGCTCAGTTGCTCTACCAAGCGCCCCACCCGCCTGCTGGGATTTTTTGGCATTACTTCCTGAAACAACAGGAACATTTTTTCTGTCATTGCTTCCTCACAAAGTCAACTACATAATTATTTTGAAAGTTCAAGAAAACCACCAGAAATATTCTGAAGTCCCAAAAGGGCAAGATCTAACTTCAACTTAGCATCTCTTTTTGTTCCCAGATGTAGAAAATCCCATGGCATAACCCATGAATCTTAAAACACTAATCTGAGGTAAGAAATTACCTCCTGACTCTTGCAGCGCCTTGTTGATCTTGGCCTCACATCCAAGCCTCTTGTTTATTTGCTCATAAAACATCTCAGTGAGGATGACTGGCTTTTAGGTCCTTCACTAACTCATATTGGAGAAATGGTAAGTGTTTTTGCTTTGTTTTCTTTCAGCCTCTGGTCAAGGGTGACTAGCCCTGATTAGTCACAATCTTTCCTTTAAATGGGAGTTGTTCTTTGTCAGAATGATATCTGGACTTCTCAGCAACTTTAGTATTTCTTACCCAAGTAAAGCTTTTCTTAAATAACTGTGTTTTCTTCTGCCTAGTAATTCTTCCTCTCACTAGACATTTTCACTGATGTTTCTGTCTTGAAAACTGATAGAGACAAAGTGAGGCTTCTGAGAGTTGTGTGGAAGGAACATGTTAGAAAAAGAATAGGGAAGTAGTCAGAAAAAAAGTGGAAATTTGGAGTTTATAATATTGCAGTTGCTATTTAGTATGATCTACTTATCACAATAGTCTTATGAAGTAGGCACCTGATTCTATCTCCATTTTATAGATGTGACAAAAGGCACATGTTGGGTGGGGGGGTCAAGTCACTGGCTCAAGTCACAAAGCAAGTGAGACAGTAAGCCTGGGTTGCAATGAGACAGTCTGGGTGGTGGCTGAGCTCTTATGCTTGGTCTGTCAAGCAAGTGAAAAAGAGATGCTGTAGCTGTGATAGAAGTGTGTGAAAGGCTTGGTTTCCAGAGTGGTGCTGCTAGGAGGAAGTGGAACCTCTAGGAGCTGGGCCTCTAGGAGCTGGGGCCTAGTAAGAGATGCTTAGTGATTGGGGGTATGCCCTGAAGGGACTGTAAGGCCCTGACCCCTTTCTCTTCTTTCTTTGCTCTCTGGGTGGTGATGTAAGTAGTTTTGCTCTGTCACATGGACGGAAACCTCTAAAACCAGAAGCCAAGACAATCTTTTCTCTTCATATGCTAATTATCTCAGGGATTTTGTTGCAGTGATGGAGAACTGACTAATATAAGAACTAAGAATATTTATCAGGTACAGCAAACAAACACCAGCAAAAACTGGAGAGGGACATGCACAATTTTAGACTAGCTAGCTCAGCTCTTTTTTGCTCATGGTAGCCAAACCTCCGCACATTTTAAAGTTTGCATGATACAACTGCTGTGTTTCCTTAACACCTCCACACACCTCTCCTGTTCTGAAGCCAAAAGCTATGTGACTGTAGATTGGTTCCAAGTGGCCCATGTCTGTGTCCTTTGTTTTCTTCTTAGAGGAAAGGACTCTCTGCACCAGATGGAAATCACTCTGCAGTCCCTAAATACTTAGCAGCAGAAATTAATGGTGTAGGCTTCTGACTACTCTTTCCTAGAATGATGTGGTTTAAAGGAGAAAATGTAAAGAGCATACATTGGATGCGTTAGAACGGTCTTCCTCATACACAGCCTACATCAATGTGTCAGCCATCATGCACTGGTATTTATAACCATAGAGGAGAATGACCAAAATCCTGAAGGAATATAAAGAAATGACAGCAGAAAAGAGTAACACCATGTAGTCCATGAAGCTGGGGGTTCCCTGAGAAACCCCAAATTGGCTCCATTTTGTACAGGTTCTGCAGCTCTGGGGGTGCCAGTCACTTGAAGTGCTGTCGTGTGGGTTTTAGCAGCAGAGACCTTAGAGACTTGAATGGACCCTTCTATAGCTTGGATCTAGACTGTCCCCCAAAGGCCCACATGTTAAAGGCTTGGTCCCCAACTTGGCATGATTGGAGGGAGATGGTGGATCCATCTAGAGGGGATTTTAGGACCCTGCTGCCTTCCTGTCTCACTCCTCCTCTTCTGGTTACAGAAGAGCACACTCCTCTGTCACACACTCCCAGCCACCATGTGCTGCCTCACCGTAGGCTCAAAAGCAATGGAGTCAATGGACCATATCCTGAAACCTCTGAAGCAGTGATCCGAAACGCATCTTTTCCTCTTGTAAGTCATTTATCTCAGGTATCTTGTCACAGTAATGGAAAGCTGACTAACACAGACCCACCGTCTGTGTCCTTCTGTGGCCTAGGACGGACCAAAGATGTGTTGAGAAGTACAGGCCAGAATCAACCTTCGAAGACCACCAGTCAGTGAGCAGGCGTGATGTGGCCTCTGCTAAACCACGCTGGCCATCCACGGGAAAATGTTAATTCCTCATCTTGTGTGTACATCTTTCCCCATTTAAAAAAAAAAGAATACAAATCCTGTTCTCCCATTAAAAGGAAAAGAGCCCATAACACCCCAAGGACTTTGGTGTTTTCCACATCCAGTTACCTAGAGGCTGACTCTGGTTCCCTCATATACACATTCATTCATCAAATAGTTACTAAGCAGCACCTGCCCCCTGTTAGTCACCAGGAGGCAAACACACAGGAGTCGGTGAGCTCTGCCCTGAAGGAAGTTCCAGTGGGTGGAGAGGGTGGAGGTTAGATAAGAGTGCCAGGAACTAGAATAGGGGCAGTGCTTGGGACATTGAGCACACACCTCCCAGCAAGGCACTAGCCAGAGCTGGAGTAGAGATCCAACCAGGAGTAACAGGCTCAGCAGGCCATGTGAGGGGTCCAAGGCTATCAGAGGGGGCTCAGGAGACAGGGCCACAAAGCATGCAGAGAATCCTCTGGTTCTTGTTCTTGGGGAGCAGAGAGGGCCTGGGGGTGGGGGAGCAACAGGCAGCTACCTTGCAGTCACAGCCGATGGGCTTCCCACACTCCTCACACGTGTTGGCATACAGCTCCTCAAAGCAGGCCACGCAGTGGGGGTCCTCCTCCTTCAGGATGTACTTCTTGCCAAAGAGAGATTCATTGCAAGTGGTGGCAGTTCAAATCGCTCAGTCATGGTGACACCTGGGCTTTCCAGCAACCTGTCCAAAAGAGGAAACCCAGCCTCAGTGAGCGTTCTCTACATGCAGTGTGTAGAGGCTTTAACTGGGCCCTGTCCCATCCTCTTTAGTCAGCATCAGGTGTGGGCGGGCGTGGGTGGGCGTGTACACATGTGCGTTTCCTCTGGGCGATCACGGAAACTCAATCTTTCCATGCTCACAATTTTCAGTGACACATTTTTTTTTTATTAGTTGGGGGAAGTCCTGTGTTTGAATGTACTCCAAATACTGCTGACTATGTGAGACTGTCCAATTCAAGTTAAGTTTGCAGGGAAGCCCCCATCCTGTCTGACTGGTGTGTTTCCAACATGTGACTCTACCTGACTTCTTCTCTTTCTCTCTGACCCAAAATAGAAAGGCAGGCATAGAAACAATATGTCCATTTCTATAAAAGAAGATTTTCCATGAGCTCCCCTTTATGATTCTTGAATTGTGACTAGGAAAAAACCATGGTTTCTGTGACTGGGGAAATAGGAGATTAAGGCCAGAGAGCACTGATTTTGACCTGACCGCCTCAGGGAGCGTCAATTCTCCCAGATGAACAAGTCACCATCCCTCAGCTGCCCAGGCACCTAGAGAGCAGGATAAAAAGAAAGGCTCCCTTCCAAGAACAAGGATTATCACACGGTCCGAAATGGAGTGGCAACAGTCAATGGCGCTCCAGGCGCACCTGGAGTCTTGCAAAGAACAACAAGAATGTGTTTCCAGGCCAGCCGCACTGCATTTTTCCAGGAAGAGAATACAGTGCGTGAACAGAAAGGGACGCTCGGTGTGGCAGTGGGGCTGGGAAGTGGGTGGTTTTCACCTTCTCTCCTAGGATCATTCCTGTAAAATAATGTTAGAACTATATCAGATAGAAGTCCACAGTGAGAGTACACACAGTTGATTTTTTTAAGGGAAACTGTCTTAAGTGGCAATAATGTGCTAAAAGTGAAAAGTTTGATCAGTTGTTAAATAGGGCATACTGGCTGGCTATGTAACTCTGAGCCATGTTTCACAAACTCTAAGCATACTCCATGTCCGGTCGCTTCATATCATTTGAGAGTGAAATCCCAGAATTAGACGCTCCAATGCAAAGAAAAAATTGCTGCTTGGCTTATGATTATATTAAATTTGGTACTGCTTATTAATTTTATACTCTTGTATATACAAGGTCCTGACAGCTATAAGCAGAGAAATGAACATCTTTCAAGCATCCGTACTTGGCTCTTTCTGTGTTTATAGACTACTTTTCTTCCAAGAGGATTAGATGTGCAGCTGGACACATGTGGTCAGATCCATCCTCCTAAATCGCTGTTTCTGGAGTTAAAGAAAACACTGCCTGGACATTATTGTGATAACATCACAGGACGGGGCTCTTGAGCATTTGAGCTATTATTCTCAAACTCCATGTATGAATATCCTTTGTACTGAGGCCATCTGGGCTGCAGCCGCTGTGTTGGCAGGAGAATGGATGCTTTCTTGTAATTCTTCAGATTTTGGCCTTGAAAACGCCCATCATTTATTTCATCCCAACTGAGGGCCATCCTTCCAACATATGTATTTTCCCAATAAAAGCTGCCATTTAGCTTACTGCCTATTCTGTTTACACAAATAGAAGAATAATGATTTGGGGAAAAGGACAGTGAATGGAGAGAGGACTAACTATGATCAGGGAATTTTGAAAGCCAGAAACTACTCTTGAGATGATCCTACTGCAACTATCTCATTTTATGGATGGAAAAACTGCGGCCCAGGAATGGTGAGAAAAACAAGAAGTCTCAGGAGCTCTCCCTAACAGCAATGTAACTTTAAGAAAACAAACTCCTGATCTTACTGGAAGTCACTTCATGTGGATTTGGACAAGCACCTCCACTGGGGAAAGGAGGCCATCTGCAGACAGTGTATCCATTTCTATGCGCACCATGTCTACGTCCACGACCAGTGAAGGGCGCCTGCTTAACTCCAAGGTCATGATTGTAATGTGTGCTCAGATAATACCATGTGTAGTGTATGTGTTTTCCTCGTCCTCTGATTCAATTCCACGTGTGCAGTGGAGAAAAACTCCATGGGGTGTAATCTCTGAAAATGAGCAGTCCTTTGTGTCTTCTCAAAGCTCAAAATGGCTGAGGCTATTCTGTGCTAAGTGCCACTGTCACTGACCCCAAGTTCCAGCAGGAATAGGGTAGCAGCTGTGATTGGTTCTAAGGGTCCAACCCAGCTGAGGCAGTTGGCCCCATTTCCACAGAATCATTTTTGGTGATGGTAGCATCCACTCTACCTGGTTCCTTATCTTTGCTAAGAGGTCACTATTGCTTTCTGCTTCATTCAACAGGACAAGGCACAAAATAATCACCACTCATTAGGAACACAGAACAATGCACTTTATCTAAGGATTTAGATAAGGATTTCCAAAGAATCATAAACCCAGAAAGCCAGAACAAACAGTACATAAACTAATGGGAAAGTCAAGAGTCCCTCTTCACAAAATTGCATATAAAACTAATCTTCTCCTTTAATTACATGCTACCCAAGATATTCTTTTTTTAAAATTTTTATTTATTCATATGTGCATACAATGTTTGGGTCATTTCCCCCCTTCCCATCCCCCTACCCCCTCCCTCTCCCCCACCCCCTCTACCCAGCAGAAACTATTTTGCCCTTATCTCTAATTTTGTGAGAGAGTATAAGCAATAATAGGAAGGAACAAGGGTTTTGCTGGTTGAGATAAGGATAGCTATACAGGGATTGACTCACATTGATTTCCTGTGCGTGGTGTTACCTTCTAGGTTAATTCTTTTTGATCTAACCTTTTCTCTAGTTCCTGGTCCCCTTTTCCTATTGGCCTCAGTTGCTTTAAGGTATCTGCTTTAGTTTCTCTGCATTAAGGGCAACAAATGCTAGCTAGTTTTTTAGGTGTCTTACCTATCCTCACCCCTCCCTTGTGTGCTCTCGCTTTTATCATGTGCTCAAAGTCCAATCCCCTTGTTGTGTTTGCCCTTGATCTAATGTCCACATATGAGGGAGAACATACGATTTTTGGTCTTTTGGGCCAGGCTAACCTCACTCAGAATGATGTTCTCCAATTCCATCCATTTACCAGCGAATGATAACATTTCGTTCTTCTTCATGGCTGCATAAAATTCCATTGTGTATAGATACCACATTTTCTTAATCCATTCGTCAGTGTGGGGCATCTTGGCTGTTTCCATAACTTGGCTATTGTGAATAGTGCCGCAATAAACATGGTGTGCAGGTGCCTCTGGAGTAACCTGTGTCACAGTCTTTTGGGTATATCCCCAAGAGTGGTATTGCTGGATCAAATGGTAGATCAATGTTAGCTTTTTAAGTAGCCTCCAAATTTTTTTCCAGAGTGGTTGTACTAGTTTACATTCCCACCAACAGTGTAAGAGGGTTCCTTTTTCCCGCATCCTCGCCAACACCTTGTTTGGTGTTGCTGATGATGGCTATTCTAACAGGGTGTGGAATCTTAGTGTGGTTTTAATTTGCATTTCCTTTATTGCTAGAGATGGTGAGCATTTTTTCATGTGTTTTTGGCCATTTGAATTTCTTCTTTTGAGAAAGTTCTGTTTAGTTCACTTGCCCATTTCTTTATTGGTTCATTAGTTTTGGGAGAATTTAGTTTTTTAAGTTCCCTATATATTCTGGTTATCAGTCCTTTGTCTGATATGTAGCTGGCAAATATTTTCTCCCACTCTGTGGGTGTTCTCTTCAGTTTAGAGACCATTTCTTTTGATGACAGAAGCTTTTTAGTTTTATGAGGTCCCATTTATCTATGCTATCTCTTAGTTGCTGTGCTGCTGGGGTTTCATTGAGAAGTTCTTACCTATACCTACTAACTCCAGAGTATTTCCTACTCTTTCCTTGTATCAACTTAGAGTTTGGGGTCTGATATTAAGATCCTTGATCCATTTTGAGTTAATATTGGTATAGGGTGATATACATGGATCTAGTTTCAGTTTTTTGCAGGAAGACAGAAGATCCAGATGACAGGGGTGGCAAAAGGTGCAGCCAAAAAGACAGTCAAGGGCCAAGGCAAGGAGAACCTGTGCGCCTTGTTCATGGACTTGGACATTCCCCGTAGACAACAGGATCTGCAGGTCATCTCCTGAAGCCTGTCCAGTGCTGAGGGGCAAAGGCAGGCCCCCCCACTGACTCTTCAGCGCATGGAAGCAGCTTTGCTATGTAAGATCGGGGGGAAAAAAAACCAATGGGCAATAACTCCAAAATAATAATAATAACAATGATAATAAAAATAATGTCACGTTGTCAGAGAGTCTAGTCCTGAATGGTTTCTCCAACTAAAAGTAGGTCATCTTGGTTCTATGGGGAATTTTCATCCAACTATGTAGGATCTACTTATCTCCCTGAACTGTGTCCCTCCTGATGGGTTATATATAATTCTTGCCCATTACCAGGTGCACAGGAATGCTGAAAAGATTAGGTAAGGACATGCGGGGAGACACCTGAGCACAGGTGTGACTGCTGACCTATTATTTCACCAAATCAAATCCAAATTACAGTGTCCCAGAGGTCTCCCCTCGCCAGAGAGAACATCATCCTCTGATGTCATCACCCTTTGGCTCTGAGTAACCAGGGTATTTGAAAAAGTTGGATGTTAGAGAAGATGCTTGAGTACCTGCACTGGGTGAAGGGAGATACCAGGCGCAGCTCCAGGTCTGGGGCTGGCCCAGTGAGGGCTTTGATTTCTGAATCTCTCATCAGCCTGGCTTCCAGTCTGTTACTAAATAAAGGTTCAGAAAGAATTGGAGTAAGAATTCCCAGGGCTTGACTACTACAAAAAAACAACAGAAACTGTATGAGTCCACAGGTTTAGAAATGTGGTGCTTGTAAATGTGCAGGTTTAAAAACTGTCAGAGTTTGGGTACATGAAGTATCGTATAGAGAAGAAAAACATGATAAAAAGGCAGAAGGAAAATGAAAAGGGAGGCCAGGGCATTTGGAACCAGGGACATTGTTTGTCTTTTGAGACCAGATCTTGTGAGGTAGGCTACGCTGGGATTTAAACTCAAAATCCTGCTGCTGCAATCACATGCCACCATGCTCGGCTCAGGTATTTTATTATTATTATTACTGTTACTATTTGTTGTTATTATTATTAGAAAGAGTTCTTGAGAGTACCGAGAGGGGCTAGCATGGTACATATCCTCTTCTTGACCTGTAGCCCAGGCCTTTGACTTTCAGGCCCATCCTTTCCAAACTAGAGACCTGGAAGGCCACTACACGAGACCAGCTTTGCAAAAAAGTCTCCACTAAGCATTCTTTTCAATGCCCCTTTATTCAACTACCTACTTTAATCTGACCCTCAAAGGGCCCATTTTTTCCTTTATGCCTCAAAGGGTTTTCTCTGTATGAACCCTGCTTCATAGGACTTCTCTAAAACAGCCATTTTCTACAGAAATCTGTGAACGTCTCCAAGCCCTTCCCACAACACATGCACAAGCAGTGCTGGGATTACAGACGTGGACTACCATGCCCAATTCTGCCAAGCTGATTTTTAAATACCACCAGGGACCCAAGTAGGAAACCCCAGTGCTAATCAACAATCAACCAGAGTTTTTAGAGAGAATTAGGAAAACTTGTCTGTCGTATGTGGGCTCTTTCCCCAAATGTATTATAAAAATGCAATGTTCTGAAATTCCTATGTCCTCCAGCAACCAAAGCACTAGCAGGTGGCACTATGTATCACTGAGACCTCCCAGCAGGTAACACACACAGGGCCCTTTTAAACATTTGCAGAATGAAGAAATAAATAGATTATACAAACATCCCAGACAAACATGTAGGCAAACATCAAGACTGAGAACGTGGAAGATCTTGGGTGCACGATCCACTGTGCAAAGTAAACCCAAAAAGGAACGTGGCTTGGCACCTGATGCCGTTAAACTTTTTAATGTAACAGATCTTTAGCTTTCTGTCATTCAATACAACCTTCACCCCTCCTTGCAGATAAACTGCTGCTTCCACAGCAGAGAGAATTTATTCTATTGTGTTGGACTTTGAACTCTTACGAACATACAGCTGCACAATCCACGATGTGTGCTGGCCAGGTCAAGAAGCAGAACACAAGCCAGGAGATGCTCCCAGTCTCTGGGAAGAATGCACAGATCCCCAAACATGTACAACCTGGGTGCTGTGTACAGACACACTGTGTCTATAATCAAAGATGCGCCACCTGACCCAAAGGCCTGGGACTCTCACACCTAGGGATGTGGCTGGAGAACACCTGCTCTGGTTTGTTTTCCACTGGATGCACTCCCTACACTCTTCTCATTAGTCCAGTTGAATTGTTTAAATAGAAATTATGGTGGTTGAGAGGAGTGTTGCTGTAGTTAAAAACAGAATAATGAATCTAGAATCTACCTGAAACAATTTCTAGATTTTCGGATTGCAAACAACTTTAGATTGTTAGGTGTAAGATTGACTACGCTTACTACTGTATACTTATGGGTTCATTTAACAAGCCTTTATTGAGGGAATGTATTGGCAGAGATTAGGGATGTATTATAATGTGCTATATCCACTAGTAGCTTTCAAAAACTAAAAAAAGAATCCAGGTGCCAATGGTTCACATCTGTAATCCTAGCTCTCAGGAAGCAAAGATCAGGAAGATGGGTTGGAAGCCAGCCTTGGGTAAATAGTTTGAGAGACCTGATCTTGAAAAAACCCATGGTACTGTTAAAAAAAAAGTGTTTTGTGTAAGATACTGTTCAAATAAAGTGAACTGCTATACTCTGAATTACCCTCTGAATACCGAATAATGAAAGACAAGAGAAAATAAATGTCAAATTTATGATCTGAAGTCCATGAATACAAGAGTAGTTACACTTTGGGGTACGTGGTGTGTGTGTGTGTGTGTGTATGTGTGTGTGTTTGTTTTTACGGTATTGGGGTTTGAATTCAGGACTTACATCTTAAGCCACTCCACCAGCCTGTTTTTGTGATGAGTTTTTTCAAGATAGGGGCTCACGAACTATTTGCCTGGGCTGGCCTCGAACTGCAATCCTCCTGTTCTCTGCCTCCTGAGTAGCTAGGATTACAGGCGTGAGCCACCAGTGCCTGGCTACACTTTGTTTTTTGGTGTGCTTTGGGCTATCTGCTCCAGCCAATGAGGGTATACTGAGTAACCACGATGTCTCAAGTATTGTGTTAGGCACTGGGAAACTGAAATCAAACACACAATCTCTGAAGGATTTCCAGCCTAGCTTGAGCTCCAAAGAACTTAAATCACCTTTAAGATCCTATCTTGTCATTTAATCTCCAAACATGCCAGTTCAGTAGGTACAAGACAACTCTAGTGATGCCGGCCAGAATGGCAGGCTGCCTCAAATTCATAAACCACACTGATGTGGAGACTGAGGGAGACTCCACCAAAGGCCCTGCCACTGCTTTGCTAGGAACAAGTGAGCAAGTGAGTGATACTGTCTGTCTCTCCACCTACAGCACAAAATCACCTGCTCTCACTCATCAGCCTCCTTCCACCTCCAAGTTTCAGCTTATTGCTTGTTCTTCATCTTCTTGGCTTCCCTCCCTAGAATGGTGTTTTCCTCTGGCATCCTCCAACTTCCACAAATAACAGGCCTCTTTGTTCTCATAAGCAGCCCTGCTCCTTGGCTGTGTTGCCTTAGCACACTGCATCAGGACTTTGTCAATGGGCTTGCACAGTTCCTTCTAATCTGTTCTATTGGTTTCAAAAGTAGCATCATTGAACACAGTTCTATTTTCTTTTTGACAGACAGCCTCAATATTTGCAGTTTCCAAGAACACTCTAATTCTACTTTGCATCAATATAGGATAGCCGCTTCTCTTGTTGTCATTGATGTTGTACCATAAGCCTAGAGGATGTCCTGGAGTCCCAGACGAAATCAGGACACTCCAGGTATGGATCATGAAGGCTAAGGTCAAGTGTGATGATGTGTGATGTCCAGGTTCAAATGAGGAATGAGAAGCACCCATGAATACTGGATTGGAGCTGAGAGACCCAATGGTGCTCCAGACTTTCAGCACATCGCCACCCAGGGAATTTTATAGCAAAAGGAAAACCAAGTTCAAGCCATGATGGAATCTTTAAACAGGTGAACATGAGAACTGGTGGGAGAATTTTTAAGGAAACACCACTGGAGATCTGTATTAGGAGTCTCCAGAGAAAATGAATTCATAAAACATAAATGGGTTATATACACAGATGGTCCTTGACTTACAATGGTTTCTCATTTACTGATGGTGCAGAAGCCATCTGCATTCAGTAGAAACTATACTCCTCCAAATTTTGAATTTGGATCCATACATGGGCCAGCACTATGGGTGTTGTATGACCTCTCTCAATGCTGGGCAGTGGCAATGAGCCACAGCTCCCACTTGTCCCCACCTCCCCCTCCAACAGACACTCTATGGAGCTGCGTGGCTGAGCTGGGATGTGTGGGGCTTAGGTATATTAGGATATTGTCAACCTCTGATTAATCCCATTGTAAGTCGAGGAGCCTCTACACCTAAATTTGTTACAGGGATTTGGCTCAGGTATGGAAGCTGAAAAGTTTTAAGATCTGCAGTTGGCAGGCTGAAGACCCAGTCTTCTTGACAGACCCAAAAAGAGCTGATGTTTCCGTTCCAGTCGAAAGGCAAGATAGGAAGCACAGATAGGAAGGAAGACAGTACAAGTACTTGGGAAGGAGGACTTAGCACTGGGAATCAGGAAGGAGGACTTCCCTTTTTGTTCTAGTTAGATCTTCAACTGCTTGCTAAAGGCCAAATACTAGGGAGGGCAATCTGTTTTACTCAGTCAGATGTTAATCTCCTTTGAAACTCCCTTATAGACACACCCTGAATAATGTCTGACCAAATATCTGGGCACCTTGAGACCCAGTCAAGTTGACACATAACAGGAGCTAAAGCTGAAATCCACAATTCAGGATAACAGAAGAAACTCACTTGACTCACTCCAAAGTTAAAATACCAGCCTCCACTCCTGGAGGACCAGCTCTCTGGGGCTAAAGAAAACATGCATTTTGTTCAAGATGGTCATTTGGAGGAAGTGGCTTCCTAGTTTAATGCCACCTGAAATGGATACTTGATAAATCTGGCTTTGATAAATTATTATTAAAGCCACACTGAAGTGCCCAGTGTCTTATTTTTTGCTCATTATGCTCTAAGAACTTTGTATACACCTCATGGCAGCTGAGTCAGACGTTTACCTACTCCGGTCCTGTTTGGTCTGTTTTTCATTATTCTAAGGAAATACTTGAGGTAGGCTGAATTTATAACAGAAGAAGTTTATTTAGCTCACTGTTCTGCAGATTCAAGGGTATCAACTCAGTTCCAGTGAGGACCTCATATGTGGCAGGAACAGTGTGAGATGGGGAGACCCATTGCCAAAAGAAACCAAAAAGAGTGAGACTGGGGTTCCATAATCCCCTTTGAGGGCAGTGATCACAAGTGACCTAATGACCTCCCACTCGTTCTCACCTCTTCAAGGTCCTGCCTCCCAACATTGCCACACTGAGGACCCCAACACTGGGGGACAAACTGCATCCAAACCACAGCCTGTCAACAAAGCAGCCTGCATCACAGACTGGCTACGGGAACCTCAGTGCAGGACAGGAGTAGAATCCAGGCCTCAAGGGACAGACTAATTTTTTTCTATATCTGACTTGGCAGTTTTGTCTGCCACAAAGGTATCTCTCAGAAGTGGAAGAGGCTTCACAAGCAAATTGAGACAAAGCTTGCAGCATAAACCTTAATGTACTATATGCCAGTTCGGCTTAGTGATCACAAGGTTTGTGGTCAAGCTGTCTGGGGACAACTCTCAAGGTCAACATCTACAGGATGGGAACAAGTTACCTAGACGGCTCTGTGCTTCAGTTTCTTCATCTATAAAAATGAAGCTATCAAGGACATATACACTGCTTATGAGGTATGGGTGCTTTAAGAACCCTGCTCATGATATAAGCGAGAGCACACAAGGAAGGGGTGAGGATAGGTAAGACACCTAAAAAATTAGCTAGCATTTGTTGCCCTTAACGCAGAGAAACTAAAGCAGATACCTTAAAGCAACAGAGGCCAATAGGAAAAGGGGAACAGGAACTAGAGAAAAGGTTAGATCAAAAAGAATTAACCTAGAAGGTAATACACACGCACAGGAAATTAATGTGAGTCAATGCCCTGTATAGCTATCCTTATCTCAACCAGCAAAAACCCTTGTTCCTTCCTATTATTGCTTATACTCTCTCTACAACAAAATTAGAAAAAGGGCAAAATAGTTTCTGCTGGGTATTGGAGGGGGGAGAGGGAGGGGGCGGAGTGGGTGGTAAGGGAGGGGGTGGGGGCAGGGGGGAGAAATGAACCAAGCCTTGTATGCACATTTGAATAATAAAAGAAAAAAAAAAAAAAAAAAAGAACCCTGCCACGTAAAGCACCATTGTATCCACTGGAAGGAGACACTCAAGAGAGTAGGTGACTTGGCCAAGGTTGAGGAACCCAGTTGTGAATTTCAGCAGCCTAGCTCCAGGCCAGCTGCATCCTTGACCCTAGCACACTTGTGGACAGTGCATCCATGAGACTGGGTACCCAGGGCTGGTGGAGTGGCTCAAGTGGTGGAGCTCCTGCCTAGCAAGTAGGAGACCCTGAGTTCAAACCCTAGTGCTACCAAAACAACAACAAAAAAGAATGAATAATGTCTGAAATAAGAGACCAAGAACCAACAAGAGCCCCAAACAGGAGGTGGTGGGTAGCAAGCCAACGTTACACACATTAATCTTAAATCTTCAAACTTCGGAGTGAGCTAAACCTGAAAATCTTGTGAAAAAATTCTATAAATGCACAATGAAATGATTTTGAGTTTGGGCTTTTTGATGTTTCATTGTTGGAGTAGGAATTCCTGTACTTGTATAACCTGTTGCAAATATTTTTGTTGTTGTTGCTCTAAAATCACCATCAAGATACCACAAGCCTCCTCCCTCTAATATAGTATCATAAAACACTCATATAAACAGGGTCAGCACCAAAAATGTGAGATACAGTTAGAAGAATGTTTTGAAGACAGTTCTCCTGGTTATCAGTCCAATTTGTGATGTATTACTTTCCCAAAAATTGTGATGTATTACTTCCCAGTGCACGCCACAAGTTGACTGTCACGGAAGGCAGTTATACATCTAAAATAAATAAAAGTTTCTTAATTTGGCCTTTGGTTTGTACATTTTTGCCTGAGTCCTGTTAGTTTACAGCGCAGATCGCACTTCTTTTCACCCATTGGAACTACCTAGTACACCCATGAGCAGACGCGCGTGCCAGGACATCGCGCTCGGGTGTGTCCGGCAGGGAGAGGGGGACCCGCGTCCACCATGCACGCCACCTCGGCGGGCCCCTCCCGCCACCCACTTCTCCAGGACAGGCACTGCGGACGTGCACTGCAGTCCTCCGTCTGGGAATGGGTGGGTTCCTCGGATCTCAGCGCCCGCGAGGTTCCCCCAATCTCAGCGCCCGCGAGGTTCCCCCACCATTCTCCAGCTCCGATGCCCTTTCCTCAAGTCCTCCCCACCGTAGCTCTGGTCTGCTTTCCCCGGATCCTCCTCTACCGAGGTCCCTCGCCACGGTTCAGGTCCCCTTCCTGTGGTCTTCCTCCCTCTGGTTCGGCTTCCCTTTCCCGCGGTCTTCCTCTCCCGGGTTCATCTCGCCGGGCTTTTTCCCCCACGTCTCGGTCCCCCATCCCGGGTCCCTCCCGCATGGTTCAGCTCCCCTCTCCGGGATCTCCCGGCGCGGTTCAGGTCCTTTTCCATCGTCTTCCTCCCCCATGGTTCGGCTCCCCTCTCCCGGGCTTTTCCCCCACGTTTCAGGTCCCCATCCTGGCTCTCCCCCAACGCGTCCCAGCGCAGCCGTCCTTGCCCCAGGCCTCTGGGGGCCCGACCCCTTCCCGTCCCCGGGTTCCCCGTAGGGTGGAGGCACTCACGGCGCGGCGGCGACCCGGGGCTCCCGGACGGGGCGGGCGATGGCGCGGCGGCTGGCGGCTGGCGGCGGCGGCTGGCAGAGCAGTAGCGCGGCTCCCGCCCCCGAGCCCCCGCGCCCCCGCCGAGTCATTTGACCATATAAGGACAAGCGCGCCGGGCGGCGCGGGCGGCGCGGGCTCGGCGCTGGCACCCGCACCCCTAGCCTCCGGGTCGTTGCTCCCCGGGCCGCGGCTGGGCGCCCATCGCCGACCCTTTGTCTCGCCCACGCTCTTGTTCCCTCAGCGTCCGGGGCGAACAGGGCTTACCCGAGCTTCGCCCCTGTGCCCGCTCCAGGGCGAGTTTCAGCGGCAGGGGCCCCCGGACGGTAGCCTTTGGCACCCTGGACCCGGGAGTGGCGCAGTGGCTGGAGTGTCCTGGTGTCGGGACCCGAGGCTCTGCAGCCTGCTGGAAGGGATGGATGAGCCACTAAGATTAGGCAAGAAAGGAAGTGTGCGCCCGGGGCGCATTTGCATGTTTGGCTTTTCTCCGCCTTATCCTGCAGATGACTTTTCGTCACGGAATGGTCCCAACAGATGACCCCAAAGAATCAATGATATCTCTTTGTTCTGCTAGGGAGGGGGGACTAAGAGAAGGTCGTATCACCAACAGTCTAGGGCCAGAGGACTGCTAAACATTCCTTATCCCCCTCCTGGGCGGGGGTAGGGGGTTGGGGGAGGAAACAGACGAGAATGTGCGCCTTCCACACTCAAAGCCCAGACCCTCTGCACGACGCCAGCCCTCGGCAGAGACAGATGGCACTGTTCACATGGTAGAGAGCGGGCACAGGCAGTCTCATGTCTCGGAAGAGGCATTGCGATGGGAAGGTTTGCTCTTGCACCCGTGGTCAGATGCAAGACACGAGTGGAAGATGATCAGATGGTCCGATGGAGAAAGCATGGTGGGAATTATGTGGACAGGTGTGTCAGGTTTGTCTTGTTTCTGTTTTCTTGGGACAGGCTCTTAGTACATAATCCCGGCTGGGCTAGAACTCTCAGTCCTCCTGTCCCAGCTTCTGGAATACAAGCTGTGCACCACTGGGCCCCATCAGGAGAGTCATTTTTAACATTCAGGGGAGCTCAGGGTAGTAATTCTCTAGAGAAGGTGGGAAGAACTATTTGAGGACTATCTTTTGATTGAAGCTCCCTGGGTGGTGCCACTGACGGGTCTCCATCGTGGAATTACAGTACTTGACAGGAAAGGACATCATGAGATGACCTACCTCTTACTAGGCACTAGCTCTACCCAGTCTCACTGCATCCTCACCCTCTTAGGTAAGTTTTAGTGAGGAAATTTCAGCTCAGTGAGGTTTGCTTTAGGCAGTGTGAAGGATCACTATACCAACTGAGATTTGAACTGGAGTCTGTCAGATAGCAAGGCCATGCAAGTACCTTACAGGATCAGCAATGCCCGCCTCCCATTAGTCATTCAAGTGACTCTCCAGGGAAGCAAAGGAGAATTGGAGGTGGGGAATCGCACTCTCACACCCCTAAACCAGGGGGCTTTACTAAGAAACCATGTGTGCACTCTGCCTGAATTTCCCCTGATAGTCAATGAACCAGGCCAGTAGCTTGAAATCCAGAGTAAACTGTGTGTAGAAAAAGCTATCCAGTTTTAATTTATCCTCTATGTAATTGCATATTACAAAATGATCCCCTAGTTCTCAAGTGGTGAGTCTTAAGCTTCAGTGTGTAAAAACAGGTTTACAACACGATAAGACATTGATTCTGTAGTCATCCTCTTTCTGCCTCCTTTGTCTTACTTTTTTGTTAGCTGTCTCAGTTGTGTGCTTAATTTTTTATTTTAATTTTATTTTTGTTGATATAGTCATTTCCACAGCTTTCTTCTAATAGCTGCTTTAGCTGTGTCACACACTCTGTTAAGCAGTGTTTTTATTATCATTATTGTTGTTGTTGTTGTTGTCGCGGTCCTGGGGTTTTTGAGCTTGCTAGGCAGGCTATCTACCTAGAGCTACACCTCCAGCCCTTTTTTTCTGGTAATTTTTGA